ATAAAGTCGAAAAATAAAAAGTTAAGAGGCTAGTGACTGGTGGGCCCCCAGGTTAAATCCTTCTTGTGAATGAGACTTTTTCTGTAGATGGGTTTTGATTATATGTGGGTGCATTCATGGAAGGTCCAACAATATAATGTGCAAATTTAGGGAAATTACCCAAAATCCTACATCTTAAGTATACTATTCAAAGACAAGGAGGATTAGTTTTAAATTCATAAATCTAGTGACAATTAAAAACTATTAAATTAATTAATACATGATTAATTAATACCTCCCCTACTTCCCACCACACCACTTCACCCATATCATCTCCTATTATAATAAAAAGGGCAGTTTTGGGTTACTGTAGATGCAACAGTAACCCAATGAGATTTTACTGTTCATTTCCTACATCTTCACACCTCCAATCCTCCAGTTTTATACCGCATCATTTTTTCCTCAATCTGATATAGAAACAATGTCTGTGCCTTTTCAAACCAACACAAATCTCGATTGCCCTAAGATCATGAACTCAACTTTCCAACAATGAGCATTTTCAAACCAACACAAATCTCAATTGCCCTAAGATTTTCTTAATATATAACTAAATCAAGCATGTCTTCTGAATAACTTCAGCAACTAATCGGTCACAAACCATCCTAACATAGAATAGTTAAAAAAAGTTATTCGCTCTGTCATGTGATATCAGGTTTCATACACATTAACAATGATATATAAGTTCCATAAAAGCATTAAACTTTTGCCAAATATTTAAGATGAAGTAGACAATACGGGGAGAAAATAAATGAANTGCCAAATATTTAAGATGAAATAGATAATACGGGGAGAAAATAAATGAACATACTATCCCATTGAATAACACTAAAACTTTCAGAAATTCATAACAGAAGAATAGCAATTCTAACAATGCCAAGAATGAGACATGGTGCCTCTGCAGAGACACTCTCCGCGCATCGCGGAGACAATTTTTTTTTTTGCAAAATGACTCTTCTTGTTATTAAATTTAGGCGATAACATTTGCTTACATTTTACACAAACTAAATACAATTTCACTTATTAAGAATTTGATATGTAATGTTAGTATTTATATTAAAATATGTTGAAATTTAAGTTAGATTTGCTTAAAAATTAATTATATCTTTTCAATAGAAAATCAGGACAATCCCCGTCGGGATCGTTGCCCCCGAGCCTCCACGAGGGGTGCTGCCCCCTCGACCCCTGCAACCCCACAAGGGGCGTAGGACTTTATTGTTATAAACTTCTTTGTCGTTTCAGCTATGGTGTTGAAGCTATATTTTCTTTTGGCCTATTTTGTCAATTCCTTGGCTCTGGGAATATTAAGCAAGGTTTATGCGGTTGTTTCGTGAATCAGGTCCTTCTGCCAACGGGTATTCATCTTTCTCTGTCCCTTCTTTGGGGTTTTGTTTACAAATGTTATCTGCATTTCAGCTCTTTGGCCCATTCTTTGATTATTTGGTTTGGTAAATGGATTTGATGAGGCATTAGCTCATGGGGAATAAATTATCTACTTCCTTGGACACGAGAATGAAACTTGTTGTATAATATCTACATTATGTTTTGTCCAGGAAATTTCCTCTATTTATATAAGGATTGTTCGTTGGAAAACCTGCCTTCTTGATACTTACTGGAATATTAACTTCAGAATAACTGTGTGACTTTTTCTATTTATCTTTAATTATTTAAATGGATTGTTTGCAAAGACTTGGGTATTTTTGTTCGGATTTTCCGTCAAGGTGTTTCTTTATCCCCTTTCTAGAATGCATGATAAAAACCATAGTTTATTAGCTATGCTGAGATTTAGAATATGTGATATGCCTATTACCAGCTTCTTCATTTCTTGATACGAAAATTGTGGTGATATAAAAATTGTGTTGATATCAAGATAATCCTATCTTGGGATTTGCTTCCCGAAAAAAATGCTACCATCGACCACAATTATAACACTCTAATTATTCCCACATGGCGTTAGTTTTTTGGAGGGAAGCTAAGCAAGTGTGGACCAGAAAACTTATTTTCTCAGTTTTCTATTTTTCCCACCATTTTCCTTGTAGATGAAAAATCATGCAGCCCCAAATTCTTCACTCTTTTTTACTCTCCACGTTGAGGTGTTAATAGTATAATTGTGATTGAAAAATGGATATATTTTATCTCATTACAAAAAGCTCTACTGTCTTCGGAAACATATTTGATTTCGTTTTGGTTATCATCAACTTGAACTCAATGTTGTGTGGGCACACGGATAGCATGCCAATTTACTTGCCTCTTCATTCTTTTACCATTTATTACTAATTCTCCTCTTATGACTGAGCAGTGTAATGCACGGTGAAGAAATTTAGAAGAATGTATTTATTCATATATGTTCCCATCTCTAGAATTGTTCAACTCTTCTGATTATACCTTTTTAGGATAGTTTTTCCTTTTCTCCATTTTTGATTTCTCTTTGTGTTATGTAATTGAGTGTGATGGGATTCAAGTAGTCAAGTTGTTTTAGCTGTAGAGTTCTGCTGGACATCATTAGATTTTCTTGTTTTTTATTGCATTCACATCTGATTAAGGTAGCTTTTATTTTTTAAAATGTAATATTCACTCATCATGAATCATAATTGGATAAACTGCTGGTGAAAGGCAACCTTTCATCTGGGAGATGGTCGACCCCTTGGTGGTTTAGATTGCGACAGCAATAAATAACTTTTTCTCTCTATTGCATTGTTTTTATATCTGGCTCTATATTAATTGTGATTTCCAAAATATGGGGTATGCTATTTTTTGTTCCGGTGAGATTGTTTTCAAAAAATCTTGATACACCGTAGGATTATCATAATTTTGTGTACTGCCTACACTGAATACTTTTACTATATCGTTGCGAAGTTCACTAACTAGATGCATTTGTGTAATTGAGATGTAGCTGCTATCATTGATGGCTACTTGTTTGCTTAATTTTTTTTTTTTTACTCTATTTTATTTGTCAGAGTCATTAATAG